AAAACAGAGGACAGAAACCAGGTGAGGAAGCAGGGGAGAGCACTGGATTTGCTCTCGCTTACCAAGCCCTGTTTGCAAGACGGAGGCAATTAATAACCGTTCCTTATCCCCCCGTTTGCAAACACTCAAGAGAAAAGGGTTTTTTCTGGAGCACCCTTCCTATCGCTTTACATCAGGACTTGTCAATTGTCATCTTAGTAAACCACAACCATGGGGAGTAAGAGCTACATTTTTATCCCTCAGGGTTACCAGATATACTGTTGCACAAGTTCAGATGAGTCAAAACTGGTGAGGATCAAGCTCAGGTTAGAAATGAAGCTTCCAGGCAGCAGAGTAGCGAGGCTTTGGAGCAGTCTGCCAACGGGAGAATCAAACGAAGCACTGAAACGCTTTCCACGTGGAGCCCCGATCAGTTTATGGAAGGGGTCGTCTACACACAGCGCTGCGGTACTGAATGGGCAAAGGTCATAGAATCTCAGACTGCTTTGGGTTGGAAGGGCCCTTAAAGCCCATCTAGTTCCAACCCCCCTGCCAGGGGCAGGGACACCTTCCACTAGACGAGGTTGCTCAAAGCCTCATCCAGCCTGGCCTTGAACACTTCCAGGGATGGGGCATCCACACCATCTCTGGGCAACCTGTCCCACTGCCTCACCACCCTCTCTGGGAAGAACTACTTCCTGATACCCAATCTAAACCTCCCTGCTTTCAATTTAAACCCATTCCCCCTTGTCCTGTCACTCTAGGCCCTTGTAAAAAGTCGTCCCCCCCAGCTTCCTTGTAGCCCCTTCAGGCCCTGGAAGGTGCTATAAGGCCTCCCCGGAGCCTTCTCTTCTCCAGGCTGAACAAGCCCAACTCTCTCAGCCTGTCCCCATAGCAGAGGGGCTCCAGCCCTCTGAGCATCTTCGTGGCCTCCTCTGGACTCGCTCCAGCCGCTCTATACCCTTTTGGTCCCCACTTCCTAACTGTGCACCACGCTCCTGCTCACTCGGTTCACACGAAGCCTTCTGGCTCCAGCTGAATGGGGCTGGGAGATGAGTGACTGCTGTCCCACCACCAGCCACCAAGCTGCCCAGTTTCGCTCTGACCGGTCCAGACTAATTTTAGTGCACCAACAGCAAGGATTTCTACCCAGGCTGAGGCAGGGAGAAGGAGCTGGGGCGGATGGGGGTGGTACCTCAAGTGCAACCAGCTCTCCTGTTGAAGTCCCAGCGCTCACCACGTCCTCCCCCCAGTGCTGTCTGATCTCCCGCACGGCCTCACCTCCAGAGCCGCTGCAGCTGGCTGGCAGGATACTGGAACGTGCCACCCCGCGCCAGAGCCAAGGTGCTGAGTACTTCGACATCGTGGAGTATTCGCTCGCACTCCCGATTCCCCTTCTTTATCTGGTGTCAAAGCCAGGAGAGAAGGAAGATGCTTAGGAAATGGGTAACTAGGAGTGGACCTCACACCAGCAGCAAAAGCCCAGCTCCAGGCTGGAAAGGTGGTTATTTGTAGGTGCCATGAGTTTGCTACTACAGGCAAGTTACTTTTTGTCACAGATCAAGCTGAAATTCCCACCACGGGACATGGCTTCCCCGTCTGTTCTCACCCACCTCCCCTTCTTCTGACTCCTCACCCAGGCTCTCTGACTCATGGTAACGTAAAGGACGTGGCAGCTGTTGACTGGGGGGCCCTGCTGTGCCCAGCTTTCCTCCTCACCCCGTGAAGGCGGTCTGGCACAGATCTGCCTTCTGGAGCCCTGGCTACAAGGTGGCTCTCACCGCTGTGGCCTCAAGGGCACTGCCTGAACCCTGGTGCTGCCCGAGCAGCAGGGAAGGGAACAGAGGATGGCTGCCTTCCCTGGGGTGGGGGGATCGCTGTCCCCGTCCCGCACACGCAGTCACCTGGGCCTGGGTGGTGTAGGTGCCGTTGTGCAGCTCCAGGAAGAGCTCTCCCACCCAGGTGCACAGCTGCGATGACTCCTTCTCCAGGACAGAAAAGAGTTGGTCGGGAGTGGAGAGCTGAACCCTGCAGGAGATGCACGAACAGAGATGAGCCGGGGGGACGCCTGCAACACAGCTGCTGGCGCATCCCCACCAGAAAGGTGACAGCCCTGGAACTGAGGCCTCAGAAACCCCAACACGACCACCGTGTTCCCTCCCACTCCGTGCTGCTCTCACTGCCTGCCATGGGGACAGGGACATTCCCCAGGCACGGAC